TTTATAGATCTCCAACAAGCAAGTTTTAAATTTTTCGTAGTTTTCTTCATCAGCGGCTCGAGAACAGGCATATACCATTTTTGGAAAAATTCTCGCGTTGTTGTATTGAACCACTGCATATGAGCAGCCTTTTTTATGGATTCGTCGCTACTATGAAAATCAGAATTTGTGGGTTTCGTCCCTTTGCGCCACACTCTTGCAAGATCCTCTTTCATTTGTAAGAATCCCCATTCGCGAAACAATCGCACGATTGTCATGGCGTCGCTGCGATCCACTTTATATCCCCGTTCCTCGAGAATCTTCAAGACTTGGAGAGCACGACTTACTCTATCCCCCTTGATAAGCCAAGCGTCGTCTTCGTGGTAACCGAGCGACTGGTGGAAGTCATCCCTGCTAGGGAAAACGAATTTAGATGGATCAGCCCCATAGTTTGAGAGTAAATTGACTTCTTCCATCAAAAGATTCGCCACGGCCAGTTGTAGTGGTGTACGGCCTTTGTTGTCCTTGGCATCGACCTCCAACGACTTCTTTTCAAATTTGCAAATATTGAAAAATTCATAGGCCGTGATGTCTTTGTGATACCTGTTGCAAACTAAGTGAAGAGGCGTCTGGCCCTCCTCGTTGGGCAGATTCGGGTCGGCTTGATTTCTCAGCAACAATTGTACCATATTCCGGTTGCAGCAGCCAGCAGCCAGAGCCAAATGCAGTGGGGTGTTGCCCCTCTTGTCCTGGGCGTTGATTAGCACCTGCAGATCCATATCGAGGGCAACCTTGAAGAATTGATTCACCAAGCCGCCGTTGATGTCTCTCTTGCAAATCAAATGCAGAGGCGTCGATCCTTCCTTGTTCTGCGAGTTTGGATTGGCTTGATTTTTCAGCAGCAACTCGACCAATATCAAAGAGCCACCGGCGGCAGCCAAGTGCAGCGGTGTGTTGCCCTCCTTGTCTCGGGCGTCGACCTGCACCGATGTCGGAATTTCTTTGACGATCTTGAAAAATTCCTTGAGCAAACCTTGGTCCTTGTCTCTCTTGCAAATTACGTGCAGAGCCGTATATCCATCATGGTCGGCATAATTGGGATCGGCGTGTCTTCTAAGCAATGCTTCAGCCACCTTCCTGTTGTCATTAGCCAGTGCCAAATGCAGCGGCATACGACCCTTTTTGTTCGGGATATTGACTTTCACACGCAGACTTAGCTCTGCCATGATCCGGAAAAATGTGTCGGCCCAGTCATGGCCTGCCAAGCCAATAACGTGAAGACTCGTCATTCCCTCTGAATTTGGTACATTTGCATCGGCCCCTCTGCTTAGTTCGGCCTCGGCCTCCTCCCAATCACCAAAGAACAGAGCCATCTGCAATTTTGTGATAACTCGTCCTTCCATATTGTGCATTGAGTTCGCGTTCAAGTCAGAGGTATCCGTGAGAAGATGAGTGATTTCTTCGCTTTGAAAAATCTCCCGAAGATTCGGAAATTGGCCCTCCCAATTGCAGATCAGAGGAAAAAATTCACGGCTGAATTGGCGTCTCTCTCTCTCGATTTCCCAATTGACGTTTTTACGTAAGCTCTTCAAGTGATTAATGTCAGACATTTTTGCGTACTCACACTCACAATTCACTAAAAATAGTTGATGAATTATATAAATAGTTTATAAAATGTATTAATATCACTTCTTTTTCACTTGAACTACTCGGAGAAAATAATACAAGAAATATTGTTACATTCGCAGTAAAAATTACTGTTCTAAATAGTAATGGTGTGACACCTATCTATTATCAGGAATTTTGATAATATAAAAACAAATTTTCTTAGAGGTATCAAATATTCTAATAAAAATCGGTACAATAATTGCTATAGTGTATAGTAAAAATTTCACTGTAGTAAATTTTATTTTATAGTTACATATTTTATGTTAAGAAACATAATACTGAATAATATAATCTTAGCAAATGAACGCCACCTTGTGAGCTGACACAAGGTGGCGTTCACGACCATAGCCTTAAAAGTACCAAGTCGTTTTTGACTAAAGTAAATGACTGCTTGCTACGATGAGAAAATTTTGTGCCTATCTCGTTTTGAAGTATCTTTATTATCTTGACAATTAATCAAGCTTATTAACATGTTATACTATATGAGCGTGTGATTAGTTGTAATAATAGGTTATTTAGATTAGGTAGGATTAAGATACAGCGAGTGTGCGGTTAGAGTTTGATACGACTAGACAAAAAAAAATAATATTTTCAAAATTGTCAATCGAAAGATATGCCTTCGAAATCCCCAGTAAAATCAAGTCAATCGATTGATGAAAAAAAATTTTTCTACTAAATTTCATTTACCCAAGGAAAATTTAATACAGTTTATATCAATGATTATTAATCTGAATAAGAAAAATTACTATTCAAACAAGAAATATTACTACTCATAATATAAAAATTACTATAATAAATGTGAAATTTTGATAAAATTCAATAGAATAAATTTTTCCTACATTAAATAGTAAAAATTACTAAAATGTGTCGATGTCACCTCCTAACTACATATTATAGTAACTTTTACCGTGAATTCTAACTATATTTATTATATTTTTTTCTCCGTGTACTTACCAAGATTATTCAACCTGCATGCACGTGTAGCGCTGTCGTAACGTAAAGTGATCTCCAGTATATGTATCTGAGACCAATTTGTATAAAGACCAGAAAGAAAGTCAAAAAGTGGATTAACTGCAGTAGAGCGCAGTCGCAGAGAATAGAAAGTCAGAACGCACATTAGGTCGTCTGTTATTTCACGACTTTTCTGTATTGCTTCTCCCCCCACCTAGATGTCTTCTATTTGATTAGACAATGAGAAAGCCGGGTTATAGAGTCCGAAAAAATGATTTGAAGGTGGCCCTCAAGCGGCTTGAAGCTTACATGTATTTTAAATGGGAAAAACTTAAAAATTTGATTCTCCGCGATAAAAATGATGAAAAAATTTGAAAAAATTCACAAACCCATGTACTTTATGTATTTTTTGACGGGGAATCGATTGGTGACCTTGAATTTGACCTTGAACATAACCTCAAAGCTAAAGCCGTAAACATCCGTTGGAACACCGAAATTTCCTGTGCTTACGCATTCTGTCCTTATTGTAAATTAATACACAAAATTCATTATACCTCTAATTACTCGATCTATAAAAATCTCCTTTTACCTGGCGATGATAATGTTTTTATGACTTTTTGCTTTTCTTTTTGTTTGTCAAATCAATGAAAAAGTCAAATCTTGAGATACCGAATTTTCTGTCGTTCATTCCGTAAAATTCACTTCGCACATCATAAAATAATTTTTTTAATTTCTTGTTTGTTTGTATTATCAAAGATATTTAAGGAGATCCGTACCCCAACCCAAAAATCAAAATTTTGATCCAGTTTTCTAGTGAAGTTCTAGTGAATTTTTTTCTAGTAGTTTCAGAAAACTGGATCGAAATTTTGATTTTTGGCATAATGTACGGATCTCGTTAATGTAATTTCTTCGATGATCTATAATAGTAGTTAAGTTTTGCTTCCTTTTAAACAATTTGATCCCTTCTTCATAACATATAATTTGTAAATATTATTGAATCTATTTGTTCGTTCGCTTCACACACACATCTATGGTATCACTCACACACCCATGTGATTTATGCCGAATGGCATTTGCAAGAGAGGATGGTCTCCAAATCCACTGCGATGTATCATGGTATCACATCTTCATGCAATGCACGTGGAAAGAAATATGTGACTAAGAATTATCTTAAAGCGCACGTGAATGCAGTACATAATAAAATCGCTTATTAATGCGATATATGTGGGATAAAGTTAAATAAAGATAATAACGATTAAACGTAAATGCTCTGTATAGTAGATGGCAAAAAGATGTACACGTGAATAAGCCAACCGAAAATGCATATCAGTGGAGTGAATCACTCACGCAATTTCATAAAATAAGTTTAAAAAATTGAATGTACGTATTCAGAAAACCGATCAGAAAATTTTTATAGACAATGATATCATGGGGTTTCCAATCCTATTTCAGTATGTATACAAAATAATATTCAACTTATAACAAGTAAATTCATTATACAAGAAAAAACGAGCACTTTATTTATTTATAATTGATCTGAATATTATGTATTAGAATTTGTAGTTCCCTCCTGTATATAACAAAATCCACTTTACATCTCGCTTTATTAATGCTTTGTTTCGCGATAAAGACTATAGATACTCATGCTATTGATCCAAACAATTTTTTAAAATAATCAATTATTTAAAATAAAAAAGATAAAAAGATTGAACTACTTAAGACATCCATGGTCAGTTCTCTGAACTATAGAGTGTACCTTTCCCGCGTATCGAGTTCAAGGTAAAAAGTCGATAAAGAAGATTCTCAGTGGTATTTTCATACGATGGTATGAAAGTTAACTTTTTTGAAAATGATAGAAAATAATTTTGATAATTATTGAAATAAATTAATGAATTTTACACCATTTTTTTCACATTACCAATTTTGCTATGAAAACTCTCTATTGAAAAATTTAATAAAAAATATCTTGTCAACATGGTAAAATCATGAAATACAACGATAAACAATATAAAATTATGATACATGTGTATTGGTCGCAAAGAATTAATTTTTTATTATACATCAAGATATTTTTTTTGTATCAATCAGCATAAAAATCAACAATTATTTTAAATGGTTATGAACATCTGTACAATAGAGTCAAATAGCTTATATAATGCTTTAAAATCAAGTAAATATAAATGCAACAGGGCATATCAGTTAGAAGATTGGTATGCATTCGAGAAGAAATATGGTAACGAAAAAAGCCAAGCACATGTTGCATCAAAGATACCACGAACAATAAAGCAAAAAATTGTTTACAATGAAAAATGGGGAGACATTACAGACTACGTTTTTCCAGAAGAAGAGGACAAGCAACCACAGTTTGAAGTTGTGTGGATTTTAGAAAATTGGACAAATGCTTAAAATAAGTAAATATTTAATGACATGAATTTTGTACAGCTTTAAAAATGACTTTGTAATTTTACAAATTGTAAATATATTTTTGTAAATATCTATTGGTTAAAATGTACAAGTATTAATTTACTTTATGGTGTATAAATGAATAAGTTTTCTCAAAACTTTTATTAAAAAGTGAAATAAATATATCCTGCAACAGGTCAAAATACAATTGATTAAATAAAATTCCGTGCTTTTTTAACAGTTCAAATTTTATTTGAAGTACTAGATGTATTATCACAAATCACAAAAACATGCTTAAACCTGGTAAAGTATTTCTTGAACAATATGTAGAGAGTATCTTATTATATTACGTACATTAATGTTTGTTTGATTCGCTACTGACTTTTTTGATTATATTACCGTTGATTGTAAAATCATGAAATACAATGATGAACATTATAAGATTATAATACTCGTGTAGCGCATTTATATATAAGTGACTAATCAATATTGGTGATATTTGATTCATGTAAATATTTACTACTTGTGGAGTTTAAGTATTGGTGGCTGACCGGTAGAGTAATTGTGTTAAAATGGCTTTAGAATGAATATTTTACAAGCACAATCACATTTTAAAATTTTTAGAGATATAACAGCAACTATATTATGACTTGAAAGTTTCGAGCAGAAGCTAAAACTTCATCATTGGAACTGATTGATTTCGAGCAATACATGGTATTACTGTCGAAACATCAGATGCATTTGTTCTTCAAACGTCCAATACTCTCAATCTCGGTTTCGAGGATATCTCCTTTCTGAAAATAATTGCATAAAATTAATTTCCGCACTCGATTAATAACAAAATATTATGCATCTCAGAAAGCCTCGACGGTTTACTTACTTTCAAATACTCGGGGGGATTACGCGCGAAGCCCACACCGGCTGGTGTTCCGGTCAAGATAACGTCTCCAGGCAGCAGAGTGAAAAATCTGCAATCATACGCAAGGATAATTCAGACTTTTTGTCGACGTTGCATCATCGACTCGAAACCCGCAATAATATAACTCACTGAGACAGATAAGCCACGATGTCGTGAGTCTTGAAAATCAATTCCGAGGTATTGCCGTCCTGCTTGAGCTCGCCGTTGACCCACGTCCTGACGGCGAGATTCTTGACGTCGGCGACGGCCTCTTTGGTCACTACGGCCGGCCCCAGCGGGCAGAAATTGTCCATGGCCTTGCCGAGCAAAAACTGGCCGCCGTTGCGCGTGCCCTTTTGCCAGTCGCGCGCCGACAGATCCTGCGCCACGGTGTAACCGAAGATGCAGTCCTCGGCCTCGTGATTGTTCAGGCCCTTGCACTTTTTGCCGATCACGATGGCCAGCTCGGCTTCCCAGTCGACTTTCTGTAGATGTAAACCGCGGACAAAAGATAACGGAGTTTATTCGCGCTCGAATCGAGTACCTGTGTCAATTTCTAAAAATAGCATTTTCCTCCTGTGCGTTTGGGAGAATATGCCGATGGCAAAATTTACAATCGAAAGAGAATATATACCTCCGATATCGTTGGCAGGTGTATGTCGTCGTAGGGGCCGATGACGTTGCTCGCGAACTTGCTGAAGATCACCGGACTCGACGGTGGCTCTTTATTCTGTTCCTTGCAGTGGCCGCTGTAATTCAAACCGACGCAGGCCAGCTTGTCCATGCGCGTGACCGGTGGCAGCAGTATGACATCTTTCTCGGATATGACGCTTCGGCCCTCGGCGACCAACCTATATATCGTTTGCGTGCAAAATTTTGATCGTTATGAAGTATTTTAAAAATGGTCATGGATTTTCGATCCGCGAATCGATGCGATTCATGCACAAACTGCAGTTAGTTCATTTTCACTCAATCGAGACAAATGGGATACGGTCGACGGTAAATTTGGTTACGTAAAAAGTCGATTTATTTCAAATAGTTTTTTCAATTTTACCCGAGTGGGGGACGAGCACGCGATTCAATGACAAAAACATGCGGAAAAACGTGGAAAAAAATTGAATAGGATTACGTTGAACGGTCCTCCGTCGTTTTGAAGGTTTTTTTTAAACACAATAAACACGGAAAAAATGGGGGGTTCTCGAGCAAACTGACCTCTCTATTTCTGCTCTTAACTCGCCGCTGTTGTACAAAGCCAACAAAATCATCGTGTCAAAATAAATAAGTAAAACATTAACTTCGTATTCTCGCTTAATTTCATAGCGCATAATAATATTATTTTCATTCAATGGTAATGGAGCTTCGTTCTCCGACGATTCTCTCACCTCTTTGCCTTTTTCAGCAGGTCCTCGCCGCCCTCGAGGAATTTCTTCAGCGTGTTGGGAATCCGCGAGTTCAGCACCGAGATGGCGATTATGTCGCCTCCCTGCTGGAGCTGGACGCCGAGATGCTGCGGCCCACCGGTTTTGTTGACGAACTGCACGAACCTGTGTTGCGTGCACACAAATTAACCAACGAATTACAACAAACTCGTAATTATACATTCGCGTATATAGGCAAGGAGAAAAACAGGATCGATACGAGTCTCGTGGCAATTGAAATTATGCCGCACCGTCGAGCTTTTCAATATCTCGAGCCTCTCGCGCGGGTACAATTTTCATCGACGTCCGATAACGATGCATTTCAATTATGATTAACGAGCACTTTGTGCTTATTGCACAGCGCGCGGCTCGCTGCCGCGAGGCTGCTGCGTTTATGTAAGTCACGCGTGTGCTATTTTGCGGTTCGTTCGAAGCTCAAACGTCTTCTGTATTTTCCAAAACGCGCAATAGGACGAACCAATCGCAAAAGAGACTCACACGCAACGAGTCAAAAGTAAATTAGCATTATTTCGACATTGAATTTGTTACGGAGGCTCGCGACGAATCGCGCGATAAGAGAGAAATCGCGCGCAAAAAAAAAACATTTCCTCGGGAGCTAATGTTTATTGTATTATATACCACTACGTATAACACGCAGCGATTGTGTATACGATAAAAATAAAGCGCGTTGTAAAGAAGAGCGTATGTTTGCGCTTGTTTTTCGCGCGCCTTATGCCCGCCAAAAGGGGAAATATACGGCGTGCAACATTGCGTAAGAATATGCGAATTAACGATGGAACTCTCGGGGTCTGCCGTTCGAACGAATAAAAAAAAAAATAAATGATTTAAAGTCGAAATGGTGCTTCGAGAAAGGAGCCTTTAGATAATCATATAGTTTTTGGAAAAATGCACACGAACGTGACCGGCTCCTCGTGACGATAAGGTGTGTCATATTCATCCTTTTCTGCACTGCATGTCTCGAGCAAGCCCGAAAAGTTTAAGCCTCGAGTCTAGTAGATAAACATGTATCGTATACGCGGGTGCTATATACACACATAATAAGAGCAGCGTTGAACGAGGGGGTACGATATAGGGTAGGTACATATAACGTAACATTGCAGGCCGGCGTTCGATATACGGTATTGTACATATATCTATCTGCAAGTGCACATCGTATATAAGCCAATTCGCACACGAGCAAGCTTTACACGTGTAGTATCTTGGTTCGCGCTCTACAACGTCGTTCTTTTTTCTAATGCTATTATCGACGTCGCGTACTTATACGAGAGAACAGTATAAAGGTGCAACGAACCTCATGCTGTACGAGCTGCTGAGCGAGAAGTTACGCAGACCGAGAATCAACTGATGGCCACTACTGCAACTGCTGCACTTGGACGCGGATGACAGCGGCCGCGAGAGTAGCTTTCCGATGCTCCTCAGCGTCATTATTGAGTCGATGCACTTCTTTATCTATATATATGTAATATAACCGACCGATAAGAGTCGTATTGTTATTAATTCAGGCCGATCCGCACGGGGGGCTCGTACGAGATATGTTTGCGCGGCGAGTTTTCACTACTTCTCTCTTCCGAGAACACAACACGAGAGAGAGAGAGTCTACTGCTGCGCCGCGAAAGCCCGACATACACTAGAACTCGCGATGTGTGTATATATATGCGCTTCGAGTCTGCACTCTGCAAGCAAAAACCTCGGCGCCGTGTGCATGGGGACTGGGGGGAGGGAAGGAGAAGCTCGCCGTTCGATTTGTGCTCGCAAACAGCATGAACGCTTCGATTGACGCTCGAGACATGCGAATTTTCGCCTGCAGACTGAATGTCATTTCGAACGATTGTGTACACTTAACGATCGTTGAGTTTGGCTGACGAAGCTCGGAAATAACTTGATTTTGTTCTTTTCATAATAGTGCAAAAGATGCGAGATTAACCTAAGATTATAATTTACTTTTCAGGTAAAGAAATATTGCAAATGAATGTATTTACCTATAAGTAATTGAGGAAATTATAAATTTAATATTCAATTACCTATTCAGAAGCGATACTAAAAACAACTTTGACATAAAATCCGTATCAACAAGAACTTGTCATGTTAACATAAATTTTCACTAATGCAACCGGTATAATGCAACGTAAAATGAGAAATGATCTGCTCACCAGAAACAATTATATGAGTCTCGTCTTCATAGTAAAATCTTATATTACGATTATAGGAGGGTATCAAATAGAATAAATTTTTTTACACAAACATTGTTTGTATTTTCTAACAATAAGCCAATAACAATCTATACATTTACATTACAATTTATTAATAATCTGGATAATGCCCTGGAAGAGGTTTAGGTTTTCTATTTGTGAAATAAAACTCTTCTCTTGTATGATACGGATTATAGATATCATCAGGGTAGTACTTTGGTCTTCTCCAAAACATTGTGACCATTTTATCTAGTAGTCTACTCTGAGTGGCATTGCAAAACACATGAGTCCTCAGACGCTTCTTGCGTTTGGCCCTTTTCTTCCACAAGTGTCTATGTCTACCAGATCTGGTATGAATCCATATACCCCTTTAAAAAAAAAAGATTAATGGTTAACAAGCTTAGATAAGTTGATAATTCAATAATAAAACATCATCCTTACCAATGGAGTCTATAAAATCTTCTCAAAACTGTTTTTACAGATTTTCTTTTTGCAGTTCTGAGAGAAAACTTAGTAACTGTGCGACATGGTACTGCGGATGGCTGTGCTTGAGGCAGCAAAAGTTTACCCAAAGATGTACTGTCAAAAAAAGGAAAAATATGTTATTTATATCAATTAATAAATTCAATTGAATATTGTTATGACATTAAAACAAACCTTAATATGCCACAACTTTGAGTTGCATTATTCAATGAACTTGACAGCTGCGTTTGTTTACTGAGAATACTCAGACAGCGCAACTGTGGAAGAATTGAAGTTGTTGCACTTATTTTAGCATCGTTTGATAAAACCTTTGGAGCAGTTGTTCTCAAACAATTTTTTGCATTATCTGAAATAATAAATCACACACACAATTGGTCAGCAAAGAATGTAAATTCGAACACTTTGACAAATGTCATTAAAATTAAAGTTCTAAAATTTACACCGCTGCAATCAAAACATCCAAGCCAAAAGAACGTCGATTCGGTTCGTTTACGACATAATAGTACTCTTGGCTATCCGGCATGTTTAACCTCAAAATTATGCCATCATAACAGTAAACAAAATGTCGATGATTTAAAATTACAATTCCGTGCCTAACATCAAAAAACAGTTCTGTTCGTGGCAAAATCTCGTTGGGGACGCATGAAAATTTGCAAAATATCAATCGAATTACCTCTGCAAAGGCTTCCCAGAAGACGCAGCATCGCTGCGGCTCTGTGCGGATTTTTCTCTCTCTATCGGCTGGCAAAAGCTCTCCGCTGCAGCAGCAGAAGTCTCGCCGTCGACGACTCCTACAATAGCTCGTCGCCGGCGTGTTTTCCCCCAGCGCAACGCTGGTCACGCGAGTCTCGAATTCGCGGATTCGGGTGGTGCCACGCGCCGCGCGGATAGTGCAAAAGCAGCCTGCAGTCAGCGGACTGCTTTACTGTCGTCTACTCTTTTCATCTAAAGCCTGCGTGTGTGGGGAGGTCAGGCAGGCCCGTGGAGCATGCTTAGCGAGTGACACGAGAAAATACACAGCATTACTATACCGGCCCCATTAACATTGGTATCGTTTTCAAAAATGTTCCGAATTGGATTAAAATTACCCGTTAATGGCCTCAACCTCAATCGGGTACGTAGTTTTTGTCAGCAAAAATTCGTTATCGAAAGATGCGCCGACACTCGAACCTCCTTGACTCCTCCTGTCTCGCACTTGCTTGTTTTCCTTACCTTCGAGTCATGCCTTTTTATTTATTTCATTGTGCAACCGATGCCCATTCAAGCATCTGGTTCCATTGGGAATGTAATTGCTGTTTCATTGATGCATTAGAGACAGAGCAAATTGATAATTGTCATTTATCATTGATTAACACGAGTCATGAAGTGTCAAGGTGGCTTACATAATTTTACCTGACTGAATGAACAATATTTGAACTGATTCAAACTTGTAATTATTACAGATTCAAAAACAAGGCTGTCAAAGACTGTATATTACAAGCAGGTCATTTGAGACAAAATCTAGAACCCACGATGAAAATAGGTAAGATCATTAGCACTAAAAAGTTGCAATGTTTACTTTAGGCAAGTTGTTGTTAAGTATATTGTAGGTAGTGACAGATCGTTGAGTAAAAGTGCTGTAGTTTACTTGACTTATGTTTCGTAGATTTTTAGTGCACTGATTGCACTACTACTGATAAAAAAATAGAGTGACACTGTGAAATTATTATACAAATGTGCAATAAACAGTGAAATCTGTGGTAATCATAGGGTTATGTTTGTCTAAATAGTGTGGTATCGTTGTTTTGAAATGAAGCAAATGTTTTGCTACAAATGATAAATAATTAATCAGGATTAATGAAAAGTTTAATTGTTATTGATTTTAGATTATTCAAAAATGATACACTTTCAACAAGGTTATCTGCTCATAAGTATTCATCAGATTCAAGAAGGTAATCTAAAATAGCTAGTCTTTATTTTTGGTTTTACCAGCTGTGATTCCTCTTACTTTTATCCTGGGCCTGTTCTTCCTGTAATTTTCCTGTTTCAAGCTTATAATAATATATTTTTGAAATGTTGATTTAAAATATTGATAATCAAAAATTTTCCAAAGAGATATTTCATTATATAATAATTTCAGTGGGAAATCTGGAGGCAGTACAGGCACCTTAGTCACACTTGGAGCAATAACTCTAGGAGCTGTTGGTATTTTAACTTATGCCAAAAATGATAAAGAATTCAGAGCAACATTGGAAAATTGGTTACCAGGAACCGACAGAACCATCCAAATTATTTTCCAAGAAGAAGAAAGTTATTTAGATCATCTTCTAAACTTTTTTACATCACTAAAAAACAAGTTAGTATATCAGTTAAAAAATATACACTTTTTTAAACTTTCAAAATTAACAAATTGGTTTTAGAATTTTAGATATGCTCTTTGGCAAGGATCCTAACATACCAGACAAGGTGGCTACAACTGTAGATCGCAAGAATTTAGAAGAATTTAAACGTGAGATAACTTTTTTCTTTAATTTTTCCTATTTTTTATAATTTTAGAAATCATTATTTTATGTTATATTCAAATTAAGCATAGATATTGAAATAATATTCGTATAATTAATCTTCATAGAATTGAAAATTATTTCTAAAGTACAAATTATTTTTTCAAATTTGTATAAATGATATTTTTAATGTTTTGATAATAATAATATGCAAAAGAAAAAATACTGAGAATATGTATAACTAATAAGTGAAATAATAAGAAAAAAAAACAGCACATACTAAATAGTAACTAACAATTTGGCTGACCCAATACTCAATGTGTGTTTAGCGCCACGATCTGCTTTTGAACCATCTGCTTTGCAACTTACACCGCCACCTCCAAAAAAACCTACACCAGAACTTAGAGTTAGTAAAGACGAAGGAGAAAAAATTGAAACTGGTATGTACAATACAACATATACATAATGACATTTACAAATTATTCATCAAAGCAATACCTAAAATCAATTTCATCCGGTTGAGGAATAAACTGATACTTATTCTATGATGTTGCAGTGGTGGAAAAATCAGTTAGTGTTCCTGTGGCACAGCCAATAGAAAGCAAAACAGCAGATCTACATGAACTGGAAAGATTTGCTGGAGAACTTGCAAAAGATGCCATTTCAGGCTTTCAACAGGCAGCAGTTGCTGTTCAAGATTACAACAAAGATGTCCTGAGTGTTGTAGAAAATTCTGATTCTAAAGTAGGAAATCAGATTTGGGACAAGTTAGTGTTATTTTTAAAATTATGAATTAAACAATTTTGTTTTGAAAAACTTTATAATTCTTATGCACCATTTGTAGATTGAAAGTCGCGTCAGAAAAAAGAAAGAAAGCTTTGAGTGAAGCTGAAAAAAAAGCTGATGAAGCAGTTACAACTTTAAAGAGATTGGAAAAAGCAGTTGATGATCCCAAACTTGAAGCCACTCAGGGTCAAAAAACAATTACAAAAAAGAACATCAGGGATATTTTGGCCAATGTCGACAAAGCTAAAGATAAATTTGACCAAGAAGCCGCAAATTCTAACATAACTGAAAGATACTGGAAAAATGTCAAAGCTGCACGAGAGCAATTCAATGATGAGCTACAAATTCTCTTCCCTAACATGAACATTAATGACAAGAAATTTGCTGTTACTGAAGAGGCATTCGATTTGTTTGTTTTACACATGTACCATAAAGTAGCATTCTTACAGAAAGAATTAGAAAAACTACAGGTAAGGTTTTATTGGCGATATTATTTTGTTTTCTTTTTGTGTCATAAGATAATGAAATTATAAAATTCCGAATTATTGTTCAGACTGTTGCCGATGCAAAAATACAAACTGCTTTGAAAACGGAAGGTGATCAAGATAAAATTCAACAAGCAATCGACAACAAAGTTTCGAAAGAAAAGCGAAATCTACAAAAGGAGTTTGACAAAAAGGTACACTTTTTTATACCTAATAGAAATATAAGTTCTTCACATTTTCAAGTTTCCAGTCCATCAAGAATTGTTCATTACCATGTAATTTGGTAAAAATCTTTTTTCATTTACATTAAGCAATTAGAAATAAAACCTAAAGGCATACTTCAAAGACAATACCCTCCTCTGACGTCCCCGTACGTCGCCCGTGTTTCCGTTTAGAGTAATCAATCGCACGACGGCGGATAAAAGAGACGTATTTACAAACAAAAAAAAAAAAGAGGAGAAAAAGCCGAAGACCGCCGTGGGTAATGTGTATGTGTGGCGCGCTCGCAAGAAAAAGGGAAACTCCACGTGCTGTGCCACTGCTGCTGCTGCTGTTCTTCCCTCAGTGGCTTCTTTACAAAAAGATCCACCGGTCGGTGGGTGGGTGATTTTCGTGCGTATACGTGTGTGTGTGTGCAAGCTCGAGAGCAAATTCCACCCTCTACACCATTACTGCGGCGCGCAACTTTTTACCCTTTCCATTCGTGTGCTGCTGCTGCTGCGCGTATGTATATATCCATTTGGATCCGGGCCAATGTTCCTCTGGCGCGTAGCAGAGACTCGCACACACACACAAACGCACACATATGGATGGTACATATATACATACGCACGCCCTCGCGGTGCGATACTCCCTTATTAAACTCAGCCTATCGCTACGCGCACGTGTTTATGCATAAAAAACTCATTTGCCTACGTGTGCGTATAAATATATATTACACGTGTGTGCGCGTTTGCAGCTAGTGCCTAGCCTATAGCTAGCATCCACGTACGCGAGCCCTGCAATCCCGTTTCATTTTTTCAACGCGCTCGCACCGACTACTCCGCTTGCGCGTATATACAGCTTTTTACTTCCTTCTTTTATTTTCATTTTCGTTTCTTTTTTTTTTTTTGCTGCTTTTCTGTTTTTGTATAAAAATATAAAATATGTTCTTAGCGCGGAAGTTTGCAAAAACGTGCAAAAATATATTATTTCTCTTTTTCTCTATACGTGACTGGGTGATTTATCGATTCGGATATTCTACTCGCATGGAGTTTCTACGGGTTTCCTTTTTTTTTTTCTTTTTGGATTTGGCAAATTTTTGACGAGAGCATCCGATCTCGCGCGCGTTACAGCTGCGTAAATTTTATTATTTAAGAAGCCCCCGAGTCGGTGTAAAAATAATATATTTTTCAAACACTCCGTTTCGCATTTGCACTGAATATTTTCATCCGAAAGTTACACGCGTTGATCTTTCTTTTTCGATATATTTTTTATAACACCACAGAGATTCGAGGCAAAATATTAGGTTGGACATTTTTAATTTGCATCGCCGAAACTCCGGCAGCAGCTTTTAACGTATAAGTGACAGTTTTGACGACTATCACTCCTGGCGGTTTATGCAATTAAAAAAAAAAAAAGGCAGTTTTTATCCCCAACAACACTAATAATCCCAGCAATGAAATCGTATTTAACGAAAAGCCCAACTTCAAAGCTGCGCGCGAGGTGAAATTTTTAAACACGCGGCTAAAATTGTAATTAAAATTTTCATTATCCCCAAAACAGCTGCTGCTGCTGCTGCTGCTGCGGGTGTGCAATGTGCATTTGCGTGTGTGGCGTGGCAGAGAAAATTTTGATTAAGCCGTATAATTTAAATTTCTCGTTGTTGATATCGTTTCTCGAGCAAGGGAGGTGGCACAAGTAAAAAAAATAAATAAATAAAGAAAGTAATTTACGTAAAGCACCGCAAAAACCTTAATGCACTGCGTGACGCACGTAATGGCGCTTTAAAGCAGCTCGTGTGTGTGTGGGTCTCTCTGCGTTGCGATATACACATATAGCACCAAACGTAGCGCAAAAGATAAAGCAGCAGCAGCAGACCCTGCCGTCCATTGACTATATTTCACTTTCGTGGAAAATTTTTAAGTACGTTTCAATGACGAAGAACAGGGTACTTGCGCGCGCGCGCCTCTTTTAATGAAGATCCTCTTCAAACGTCCTTTTCACAGTCGGTCGTGCAGTGTTCTTTTCTTTTTCTTCATGGCTGAAAATATATATATTCAACCGGGCGCACGATGTACGTCGGTGTCTATTTCGCCTATACGTACTTATAGTTAATTCAAGGGAGCCTTTTTCATATTATGCACAGAGCGGCCCCCGAGCTTTCCTTGCAAGCTCTCTCTCAGCGCGTTCGGCAAAGTTGTACACGTGTATTATATATAATATAACGGCTAACAACATTTTCATTTCCCCTGCCTTTCTTTCTTCCTCCTTTTTTTTTTTCAATGCACACAGTGCCGAGCGAGAGGAAGTTTCAAGTTGATCTTTTGGCATTAAGTGCGCGCGCATAAGTATTTCATATAGAAAATCTCGTAAGAGGCTCGTTCGCTGCTGTATATATACCCACTCACTGCTGCTGCTGCTGCACTGCATGTGCAAATACTTGTTATCGTTGATTGACACGCCTTGAGTACACACACACACACTCTTGCGCTTTTCCTTATGTATAAAGACGCGAAATTCCTGTTTATATTCCCCGACGCGTTGCATTTCCCAAGCCGGCACTATAAGCAGTCCACTCGCTCTGGCACGCGCGCGCGCGCGTAATTTTTAATGCCCCGAAGATGCGAAATCTCGCGAACTTTCCTTTTTTTTTTCCTCTCTTTTTCGTTTCACTCACGATCTCGGCTGATTTTTTTTTTCGAGACGGTCTCGTAACGGTGGAAAAATCGCATTTGTATCCGTATACGTGTACGAAATCCCAGCGACATCGATACTCGTTCGAGTCCCCCGCCGAAGAGGGAAGAAGAAGAGTTAAGTTGCGCCGACGCCGCGGCATCGGGGGAGGAAATCTCTCGACAGCTGCGCGGCTCGTATCAAAGCTAAACTGCGTCCCACTCGTCTCTTTCTCTCTCTCTCTCTGTCGTGCGCTGCGGGCGGCTAAAAAACATACACAACAGCTGACAGGCTTAAGTAGCTGCGGCATCAAGCTCGTCGCGAAAAGTCTAAAGGGCAAAAGACACGACGACGACGACGAGTGGCGTGTGCCGCTGCTGCTGCTGAAAAAGCTCGAGAGTATGTATTACGTATTAAGATCGTCGAGTCGAAATCTTTGCGCCAGCCAAAAAGGCGAGCTTGCGCCGCGGCAATATGTATAGATACGAAGAGAGAGAGAGTCTCGCGGGAGGAAACGCGTCGTCGTAGTCGTCTGTTGCAGCCGCCTCGCGCGCCCGACGACGACGACTACGACGCTTATACCAATATCTCGTCTGACGGCATATACGAAGCATAACATACCAGTATAGTGGTAGTATAGTAGTAAGCAGTCATATAGTACGGTAGCTAGTTCCCCGTGTCTCTGCGAGGTTTGTTTTTTTTCTTCATCCTCTTCTACCTCCTGCTCCTGTCTCGCATCGAATAGAGAGAGAGGAATTTTCGCAGCGCAGCGCGTGTAAAAATTTATGAAGCTCGTGGGGACTTGGCGAATTTTTTCTACTTCTTCTTCTTCTTCTTCTTCTTGTTCTTCGTCTTCTTCTTGTTCGTTTATTTTTTTTCTCTTCCTCGAAACCAAGAAGAAGATCTCTGCAAGCCAGTACGGTAAATCTCCCTTGGAAAAAAGAGTTAAGGCAGACCTGCACGTTGGTGCTGTAGCGCGGTATTATTGAGAAAAACACGACGTAGCCCCGCGCGCGTTGAAATATCAGTCGGGATTGCATGCATACAGTACACACGGCTCTCGGCTCCTTTTCTTTTTCCTTGGCGGCGGCGCTGCGGAGTCTTTTTTTTTTGTTGCTCTTGCTTTTTTTCCCTCGTCGTTAAAACTTGGATACTTTCCTGGAAATTACCTATTCTCTCGCTGGTAAGTTCGTGCAACGCAACGCAACGCAACATAACACACAACACGCATTTCGATTCGTAATGGTCCATTGGTGCGGTGTTGCGTTGTAGCTGCCATTGTCTCTCTAAAAGAGCAATTGTGCCATTAGCGCGCGCCCAACCGACACTGACTCTCTGCGTATACCTCAAGCTCTTAGATACGGGATTGACATTTATTTTATATGAAGAACTCGAGGGCGAATCCCCCCGCATTAATCGATCGACGAGCGGATCAGCCCTGTAGCAACAGCAGCAGCAGCATCACGAGATTATAGCCGTTGTTTCTCTAGCAGCCGTACACATACGTATATTTGCAAATTGTTAAATATTCTCTTTGAAGAGTACGCACGCGGAGCTTTATTATATATATAAGCGAGGGTCCAGGCGTCGGGCTTAAAACAGGAATTCGGCTGATTTTTCTCCTCCTCCTCCTCCTCGTCCCTCTTGTAATTTGATATTAATCAATAACACGAGGGGGGGAGTAACAAGCTTGCCAGGTATTATATACAGTCTGTACGTAGCTTAAACATACAGACGAGCCGGGTCGATAATACGCTTTTCCATCGTGTGCACGCGTATATATACAGCGGCAAAAAGTGTAAACCGATGGAAAAATCCGAAAAGCACAGCCAACGCGCGCGCACATACAGCAGCAGCAGGTGCAGGGAATGTAACCGCGCACACAGAAGCTGACGTTATACTCTGCGGCTTAGCATTTTCGCCGCATGCACTTCGTTATCTCTCTCTCTCTCTCTCTCTCTTGCATTGGATTTTCTTTTTTTTTCTCTTTATAATGCCTCGTTCTCCATCCTGTGTAGAGAGGGAGACTTTTTTCCATTCGTTTTCTTTCCTCTCCTGCCCTCTTCCTTCGTTTTTTTTTCACCTCTTCGTTTCAATTTTATCGGCTGTAAGATATATTACACAGCCCTCTATCCTATATGTGTATATATACGGCGTTGCACAGGCCCTCGCGTATATAGTAGAGAATATATTGGAGTAACTTTTGACCGCGCGCACACACATACACGCGCGCGCGCAAGCTCCGCACAAAGTCCGTGTGTGTATATAATATTTATTATTTCAGCAGCTCTATTCTAGTATCCATACGCATATAGTTTGG